ACTTAAAACAAGATTTTTTACATTACTAAATCTAAATAAGAAGAAAGAAAGAACTAATGAAAAGTCTTTCAAACTTTCAAAAAAACATTCTACCAAAAGATTGAGAGTCCATTTCTTGTAGTTGTCTACAGGGTGGAATTATACATATTACTTGAAAAAGATATATTGTGAAAACCAATATATTAAAATAAAATTTAATTATTTTAATTCTATTTCAAAATGATCAATTGTAAAACAAATTAGCACTACTTCATTTGGTTACTTTTTATAATATATATATATATATATATATATATATATATATATAAACACAATGTTTCTTATAATAAATTAATCAAAATTTTAAAAAATTACTTTATTCTATGGTATATGATTAATAACATTTGATCACTAATAATTAATTTATTTACTAATTTTTAATGAATAACATATGTAATTAGCAAAGACTTAGGTTGTTATGTATAATTAGGTGAAGCAAAGCCATGTGGTTGCCACAACAAAAGCAAACAACATAGATTGTAGGACTCTAGCAAAGATGATATTTATCCTACCTTCAATATGCCACCTTTGATGGTTAATGACCTATGATATATGTATATATATATAATATTATTTTCTTAAAATGGATAATATTTATTTACAAGAAGAATGCTATTTGGCATGGTAATAGTAATAAATAATAATAATAATAATAATAATAATTAATGTATTGAGATTATATGTAGCACTGGAAATATTATAGAACATACGTTGGGCAGATACAATATGTTCCAAAACATTTTGATGCTTACATACTAAAATTTAATAACTTGACTTCTTTCAAGGGATTTCAAGCAATTATAAACATGTTTGCAAGTGTGGCATTTATAAATATTTTTTTAATAAAATATATATTTATTTTGTAAAAAAAATAAAAATAAAATCAAACAAACAAACAAAAACAACAATACTTTATAAGAAATAAAAACACACACACACACACACACACACACACATATATATATATATATATATATATATATGTATATATTTGTTGAATTCAATGTGGATGGAAACATCATCCAGTTTTCATTTATTGTGCTTTTGTAATAAACACCACTTTTATAAATCATAGAAATAATTAATAATAATAATAAATGTTGCATTTTATATAAGGATATTTTTATCATTTTTATTATTTACATGACCAACTAATATTTAAAGTAAAATTACTTTTGCAGATAAAAATTAAAAAACATATATATCACTTATAACAATTCTAATTGATATCAATTCATAATGAGACTAAATATTAGTGAGACAATATACTGTTATAGTGACTACACTTAAAAAGAATGGTGATATAATACATACACCATTAGATATTTATTGTATAATAAGAAAAAAATAACAAAACTATTAAACTTCAAATTACTTATAAATTCATGTTTGCAAAACTGGAACTCTCCAAAACAAGTACTTTTTGATTAAAGAAAATCATAACTAAAAATTCAGAATAAATAAAAAAAAAATCAACAATTAATCTTTATTACTTAGATAATGTAGTTCTAACATGAGAACACACAACTGAGAAAAAGAAATACAAATATGAGGATGATTGATAAGTTTAAATTTGTATAAGTTGAAAATTGAACATCTAAACTTTTTCCAAAAACTACCCTTATTTTTAAAAATAAATTTCAATATTTTTAGGAAATCGAAAAAAGAAAAATCTTCATAATTTAATGAAGTATTTTTGTATTTCTATTAATTATACTTTCATGTCAAAAATCTTGATATATCTTTGATTTAGATTAATGGTTTCTGATAAGTTGTGCAATACAAATCTAATAATCTAAAATTTTCTAAGACAACAACTGTACCTATATGTATGTATGTATGTATATATATATATATATATATAATTATTAATCCAGTTTAATTATTATCTCGTGTTTAAGATATATTTTTATTATTGAAGTATTTCAATTTATATATTTATTGTTATCTATATTTTATGCAATTTCTTCCTTGAAATATGATATTTTTATGTAGATATACTTGATCCAATATATACATATATATAAAAACATAATATATATTGGAAATAATATAGTTAAGCAACGAAGATCATTTTATTAGGAATATTTCTGTGGAAAAAATATTTTTTTATAGAAAAACAGTAATATAACTGACTATTTCATAAAAAATATTTAATAATAAGATTGAATATATTTTCAAATGTTTTTGTGACCATAAAACTTTCATGATAGTGGATTTGTGCCATCGATATCTAACAAATTAAGACACAAAGAGTAGTTATACTTTTTAGTATGATGTGCTGAAGAATCAACTCGCACAATGTATGGGAGTATTATTAGAAATAACAAGATACTGATTGATTTGGCATTTGACTAACTCAATTATTCTTATGTAATTAAAAATGATAATAATAATAAAAATAATAATAATTAGTCTTATTTTTATTTTTAAACAAAAAATACAGCCAACAATTTCTATAAATATTAAAAAAATTCATAGATTTAAAAAAAAAATAGCTGAGAATAATGTTTTGTACGTGACTACAATAGCACAATTGTGTCAAATTCTTTAAGAAAGTAAAGTTAGATATTAAATTTTCCTTTAAGAAGATAGAATATTAGGATTTACTAACATTGATTAAAACATGAAGTAAAATTTCTACAAATCCTATCTATTGTAGTATCTTTTTTAAAAATCTAAGTTAATCATCCAAAGAAAAATATATCAAAAAAATAAGTAATAAATAAATGATACGATTAAAAATATATAACGAAATTTCTACAGAAAATATAAAATATAGAATTATAATACATGATTTGATTAAGGTACATATTTAAATAAATTTTTTATTACATTATACTTGCAAAAAAAATACTATAAAATTGATAATTATCTATTCTATTTAACAATAAAAATTAACTCACTCACTAACATACTTATATATTGATGCAATAATAATTGACATGTTAATTATTTTAATTATAGATAAAATTTTAATGTACTTTTATTTAGCAAAGAATTTATATGTATTTATATAGTGTTATGAAAATATGGTTGTTTGTTGTGCAAGGGGATAAAGGCCTAATTCTCACCTCTCTTGGGACAAGATTTACAAGATGAAATTGTGCTAATTTCTCATTCATTCATTCTTTTACTGACTTTTAGGCAATACTAGAAAACTCTATTTGTGAGAAGATTTACTTATATTTTATTTTACTTTATATATATATATATATATATATATATATATATTATTGAAACGATTTGTTGTTAGAATACAAATAAAGTTTTGAACAGAATAGGCATGCTCAGACAAGTAAGTTTATTGAATATGTTCATTTTCTTATTTCAGTTTTCTTAACATATTTTAATTATAATAAAAGGCTTGAACGCTAACATCTATATATGTATATATATATATATATATATATGTATACCTAATCATTTACTCTTTACTCTTTATTCACTTGCCACAATCAACAATCCTTACCATTACAAATGAATTTAAGAATTTTGAATTCTATGTCTTTTTGAAGTATCATTGTGTATATTTATCTTTATAAAATGTCAAAAAAAAAAAAAAAAAAAAAAAAAAACTTAAACAAAAATGAAATACAATTGTCTTCACATTCTTGATTAATGTTTTAACAAAAAGAAAAAGAAAAAAGAAAAAAGAAAAAAGAAAATATATATATATATATATATCTAAATGAATGAAAAAACTGAATATTGCTATGGTTAAATGCAGCATAATAATCATGGTAGCCAGAGGCTAGTAAAGAGAGCAATCGGGCACACAATCAGCCAAGGACGACGAAATGGGAACCCAAACACCCTCATAATAGAACACACACACACTCACACATTCACACACACACACACGAAGTGGATTCATGGCCCTGGTTGCAGTAGCCACGAGTAGCAGGAACACATACTCACTCTCTCTCTCTGCAGTAAACAAGGAAAATAGTGTGGACTGTGCCAAGAGTCCAGAGAGAGCCGTTGCCATTCATACGAAGAACAGCACGGAAAGACATGGTGAGTAAGTTGGAAGCACGGATCCCAAGGCAGTCAAGCCTCAGAGTGAGCGCCGTTAGTTGGGGAGGAAAAGGGAAGCTAAAAGAAAAGAAGAAGATCAAGAAGAAGAACACATCGGATGCGGGAGAATAAGAAAGACAAAGCAGGTGTGCATGAGAACAAGGAAAGGGAATGAGATGGGGATTCGAGATGGGGGGAGAGAGACTGGAGCAATTGGACTGAAGCTGAACCAAGCAACTGGAGCATCATGGCCGCACTCGGTGCTCGGGGAGAGGAGGAGAATGTAGATCACCATAGCTCAGAGGGTGTCAGAGCTTCCAGAACTGAAACCCAGCCCTTACAAACAAACAAATGCTACACCAGGTTTTGCTCCTCGCCCACCGCCGCGCACTCGATCCACCAGGCTGGATGCCGGTAACCACATTCCCGATTAGTTGCGCGGCCCCAGCTAGAGTCCACTGGACGGGAAGGGGGAGCTTTTTTACGACGACAAAGTGGACTGAAAGGGGGAGATGGACTTGCCAGGGGACATGATCCTCCATGTGTTGGCACAACACTTGGGTGGTTTTGTTTTATTTATTTTTACTTCCCGAGCATCACCGCACATGATGGGTGTATGGAGGGCGTGTTGGTTTAATGCCAGCCATTGATTGAGATTCACCTTCCTTTAGGAAAAAGCTGTTCAGTGCGGTGCGTGCACCATTATAGACGCGTGGTTGGATTGCAGAGGCAGACTAGGTCTGACTGCGTATTTGGCACTTTCCTGTCAGAGGCTGGCGTCGCCCCAGTCGCCGTCTTTCCCGTTTCACGCCAAAACAGATACTGTGCAGGTCCTCCATCGACAAGGAATTGTCGCTCAAACTGCTCGCCGATCGATCGATCAGGTCCCCTGGATAAGGTTTCAGAGCTGGGTTAGTCGATCTGAGCTAGGAACTGGATCAGCGGCCACAAGGGGTGTGGGAACTCGTGAGCTCTGGGGGTTCCATGGTGTTAAATATATCGTGCGCATGTTATCCTTCTGGACTTTACTGTGCCAGTAGTGCGTGGCGATGCGAACGTGGAGGGCGTGAGACTTATGCGGGCCTCTGAGACAGCGTGGTAGTGAGCCTTATTAATAGCTGCTTCGCACGTCTGGGGTGGAGTTGCGACAACCCGAGCAAGCAACCTGGGCCTAGACGGCTACAAGGGTACCGCACCCCCTCTGTTGACAATCCATTTCAGTCATTCGAAGTCGGAGTTGGGATCCGAACAAAACTGCCTCTAGGCGCCGGGTACCAAGTGTCCTGGCGCGCAGCTGCTGCTTAGAATCTGATGTGTCTGATGGGTCGAGTTCTCAGCCTCCTACAAGAGGCCTTCGAATGTTGTTGCACATTCGGAATTGACTTCGTTGTATCTGAATGCCTTGCATTGAGATTCCATTGTGTCAAGTCATAAACTCCTTAGAGTGTTCAAAGCCACTGGTCGCTGTTATGTGTATCAACTTGTTGACGGGACCAGTTAGTTCTTTTATTTTTATTTTTATTTATTTTTTGTTTTTCACTTTTGTCGTTGATAATGGAGCACTCATATTGGTTGCGGAGTGAAGTACGCGATCGCACAACTGAATCGTGATTGCTGAAGTCTGTTTTGCTTCGTGTGCCTGTTTGTGAAAAGCCTTGATTTGAAGTTGATGCGACCCTGAGGAATGTAGTTCTCTTGCATCCAGTACAATTCTCTAGATATGAAGAACTTGTATGTATTGTAGTTGCGTCGTGTGTGACATTCTTCTTAAGAGTGTACCACGTACCACACAACGACTTCCTGTTTGTGAAAACGATCATACTCGGAATGTAGTCTAGCTAAGTTTTAATGCAGCTTTGATGTTACAAGCTTCAGCGGGGACCATGCAGATCTTCGTTACATAAGTGATCAAGTATTGACGATGAGCGGTTCAAGAAAAGTCCACAGCTGAAGGGGGCGGGAATGGTTTGAGTGTAGTTCTGCGCAAACCAGTCAATCAACATGTAGAAGCCGGTCGTCCATTTCGAATTTCTGTCCATGTAGTGACTGCCACCTCTATTTTTTTACTCCGTTCTGGGATTGTTCATCGCGATCAAGGTTACAGCACCATCCAAGACTGCGAGTTCGCTTTGTTGCTCACCCTCATCTTGGAGTACTGCATCTTCACATCTCTGGGTTTCACAATCTGCCTCAGGTTGTTAAAGTGCCGGAGTAAAATTGTGTTATTGGATATTCAGTAAAGATGGGTGCGAAAATGGAGTCAATCCATCATTTGCATAGTACTAGAGATAAAGTGTTTACACACTTATCATAGTACAAAACTCGGGGCACTTGAGCACACCATATGGAAAGAAGGTTTGAAATTCTTGTGATGGGCAGATGCAGAACTGCAAGAAGTGAGTGGGCAACAGGCTATTTTCGAAGATCTCGTGAATGTCGACAATCCAGGTACTAACAAAGCATACCCCAGGGAGCATGTTTCTTATCTCTAACGAAGACAGTGTCAACTCAAGAAATTCAATCGGAGTAGCTTATTTTATTGCCACAATCACAGCGTGCGGATGTGTGCACCACTCATATGGTTCGGTCAGTAGATCAGTGTCACTATTATTCTTGTCATTGGGACACTCGTTTCAGATTCGAATAACCTAGCCAGGTGAATTCGTTTAGGATCTTAGCATTTACCATTGCATGTGCGAGGGAACAACTAACACGACGTCTTATTTTGCGAGAAATCGAGGTCTGAACACTGCTCGTTAAGGTCAAAGATTGATCACAGAACGTGCATTGCGGTTCAGTTATTTGGCTACGTAATGTGAACCTAGTGTTCAAAGAACCTGTTATCAAATTGGAGTTGAATCAGTGAAGACACGGACCTATATCCGTCTTAGATACCGGTTATTGGCAGCATAGCTCATACATAACACAGGTGACTTTCAACCCCACTTAATACGTGAACAGTGCTATGACTTTTCTTTTTGAAATGATCCAGTTGAGCATGAAATTCTCGCATCCAAACTTCAGTTTACTCTGAGATTCTGAAACTTCCCCTCACTTCAGTTTTTCCAAATAGCCATTGGAAGTTCTTCGAATGATTCTTAACTGTCAACACAACTCATCATGAAGCTGTAGGGTGTGAAATAGTTAAATGTATGAACATGCAATCCCTGAGGAATTAATTGCTCATTACTTTTATAAACAGTAACAAGCGCTGGGTCTAATCCAACCAGAATGTCATTTCGACGTAAAATTCAGTGGAAAATCAGGCTTTGAGAACTTCTTAACTGAGGCCTGTGAGGACTTTCAAGTGGATGCTTCAGTACTCACAATAGTATCAGTTCTTAGTCCACATTTAGTAATGCATTCAAATTTTCTTCAACAACCTAGACCATCTACCGACGTCTAGTGCTATTCAACCGATCAACTACAGGATTGCATTGGCGTTCAATTATGCTAGTGAGGACTCTCATGAGAGTATCAGTGCGTTGAAATCATGAGATTTAAACAAGATGCAACGAGTCTGAGAATGATTTTTGTGCCTGTTATCAATGCAATTTAAACAACTCTGAGTAGGTTTTGATAAAAGTCTGGGCATGTGGTTCTAACCTGGTTGATTGTATCATATTTCAATCACTTTTTCAGTGCAAAACCATTGGAAATTTTCTTGAATCCGTGACGAAGTGACTGCTGACCTCCGAGTTGTCATCCCTGTTTTTGATAGTAATCACACCAATCGTGGAGCATCGCACATCAAGTTAGTGTTGGGAATAAACGGAACCCGTTCCTGGGACTCGGGTAGGCTCACAGAGAAGAGAAGAGAAGAGAAGAGAAGAAACTGCACAAGTGTTCTGTTCCCGCACTGGCGATGGTGCCAGTAAGCTTGACGAGAGCAGATCGAAGCGCAAGCAGATCCATGTTTACGGCTCATGAAGCGCACCGCAACCTGGAAACTCGTTTGGCACGATCTAGATTTGCGTTTGTGGGCGTATCGGCTCCGCCAGTGCTTCCCAGACGCACCGCAGGTTCTTCGGAGACAGTTTTTGTGGACTGTGTAATGAGACTTTGTTTGTTTGATTTTTAAGATATAAAAGGATCTATTGTACTTGACTGTTCAATTAATTTTTGTGACCACAGATCTACTACTATATCTTCTATTAAAACATGTCACCTCGCAAATCTTTTTGCAAAAACAAATCAGTCTTTTCGGAACATATTCAGGGCCATTTCTACTTGTAATAATCTAGTTTATTACAATATTTGATAGTTTAAATTTTCTCTAAAGTAAAAATTAAAATTGATTTTTTAAATAATAACATTAAAAATTTAAAAATAAAATTTAAAAATATTTTAAAATTTTGATCAAGTTATAACAATTTTTTTTCAAAGCCATCTTTGAATTGCTATTGATTGACATCAAATTAAGAATGATTTTGATATTACAAATAATATTTTTTAATTTGTGTCTATGCAAAATTATTTGATTCATATTCTATAGCCACATGTTAAAAAAAATAAAAAAATTCCAATAATTGATATAGTTATTGGCATATTTCAATATAAAGATAAAAAATAAATAATTTCTTTTTTTTTGATGAAGATCTTAGAGGTAATTGCAATAGTTAATTTAAGCATTAGAATAATAAACAAGATGTTAAATTATAAAATATTTTGGAACAATACTTGGAATGGTTTTATGGACTGATTTCAATTAAAAGTTGTTGGAAGAATTATTGCATTTAACTTAGTATTGTTACAATAGCTATATTTTTTTTTTATTATTTTTCTTGATAAAAATCTATATAATAAATTTTTATTAAATGTAATTGGTAAAAGAGAATTTTTGAAATTTCTTGTTGCCATTCAAAGATGTAATAATATTAATACTTTTTAGAATATATTTTTATTTTTAGAATATATTTTTATTTTTAGAATATTTTTTTATTTTTAGAATATTTTTTAAATTTTTTATCTTATCTTTTCATGTGTCTAAAAAATACAATGGTTATAGTTGACAACTTTTGATCTATACATATTAAGATTTGTAGTAATTTTATTAATATAATTTTATTAAATATAATAGTATTTTTATTTCTCTAAATTCTATATTATTTGTCTTAATCTACAAATTAGACCATTCTTGCAAAAATTTGATATAAAGCTAAATACTATCAAGTATTTTCGTTTAGTTGAATATATTAAGGTATATAAGACAATTTATCAAATCAACAAAAATATTATTTTAAACTTATATCAAAATTTTAAATTCCCAAAAAAAAAAAAAAGTTTTTTAAATTTTTTTAATTATGATATGTTTTTAATAAGTATTTAATCTAATATTAAGATATTTAATAAATTATTTTTTAGAAAAATAAAATATTAGATATTACATGCATTTTTAATATAGCTTCCCTTAAGGACATAAGTCAAAATAAATTTCTAAAAATAATAATATATTCTTATATCCCTAAAATAATAAATAATTAAAAAATATATTTAAAATTAAAATTAAAATATCTATTTTAAGATATAAAATAATTAATAAATTTTGAACCAAGATAGAATACAAAAAATGTATTAATAAGAATAAAGAAGGTCTCATTCTTAGCTCTATATATGCTATCTATTAAAAAATTATACAATGATGTCATATAGAGCATATGACAATTATCCAACTTGTGCAACATATGTTTAATTTTTAGGGTATGTTTCTAATATATACACCATATAGCCAACTTATAATATAAGTGACTAAATATGCAATATGTAACCAATTTATTGGCGAAGTTGTCAATCTACCAATCACTTATAAATATATATAAGATATACAAAGTTTCTACTTAGTTTTGCTTATTTTAATATATATACTAGTGAATACAGCTATCCATTATATTTATCTTCCTATTTTTAGGCAAAAATTTCTACAAAGAGTTTTGTTATTATTTTGTAAGTTAATAAAGTAAAAGATTTTTTAAATAGTGTTAGCAAAAAAAAATTATTCTTATTTCGCACAAAGGTGGTTGATAGGTTCTTTTAACCATCAATCATATTCCAAACTAAGATAAAAAGACCACCCAATTATTTGACCTTTATTAAGGCCTCATAGCTACCTTCAAAGAATACATTTTGTATTTTATCAAGTGTAGTATGTACCTTCACCAATATCACTAAGTGTCAATAGGCTCTTCTAATATTATGGTACCAAATACATGGTATCTTTCTATCTATTTAAAAAAGACATGTCTCTCTTAAAGATCTTTATTATAATTGTAATATTTTCTAAATTGAAACAATATGAGTATTTTTTATGATAATTCTACAAATGAAAATTCTTGGGATAAATTTGCTTGATATTGGGTCTTCATATTTGTAAAGGGATTTTAGAAGTTCATTCTTGAACTTATTTTTTCTTGATTTATTTTAGTTTTTTTTCAATGATTAATCCTTGGTTTTAGCAGATATTATTGATGAAAAATAAACATAAGTTTTTTTGTATTTGTTAGATTTTTATATGATTCTTATATGCATCTACTAATATTATATTTATTATTATCTTATAATACAATTATTGGATGAAAGAAAAATAGAAGAATAATATTATAAAAGAATTTATTTTAAAATATAGTAGAAAATTACTATAAAAAGATAGATAAAAGTTAAAAAAATAGTAAAATGAATTTAGTGCTAAAGTTACATTTTGATAATTAAAAGCTTCTATTTATTTTGTAGAGCTATAAAAATGATCAAATAAAGTAGATTAGAAAAAAATATATATATTTTAAGCATCTTCAAGTAAAAATAAAGAATAATTTTCAGCAAAACTTACTTAGAAAGACCTTAGAATGATATTTTGAGAGGATTGTTTGTCAACCAAGGTCATAATCGGATCTTAAGGCATAAAATTGTGTATTTATAATAAATTTATGATTTTTATTTTTATTTTTACTAGAAGTGAGATTTGAGAGAAGCCTTGATACTACTATTTTGAATATTAATTTTGAAAGTTTGAGTTTATAATGATTTTATAAGAGCTTTAAAAAGTTTTAAAAAATATAATAGTTTTATTTTTCTTCTAATTATTACCTAAATAATATGAATAAGAAGAAATAAAAGTAGATAAACTTAATAATATCTTGCGAAAAAGCTTCTTAAAAAATTTATAGATACAAACTTGATTTTATAGGTTTTTATAGATAATTAATAGATTGAAAACTTAGCAAACAAGTTGATCTTGTGTTGCACATGTTGGCTACTTATAGTACAAATTGAAGATTTAGTGTACATATAAGAAACTTGTATTATAAATTAAACACATATTCTACAAGTTAGACATGTATTGGAGGTCTTATAAAATGTTGTTATGAAATTCCTAGTTAGATAGTATATATAAAAGTAAAAATGAGACCTTCTTTACTTTTGTCAACTTTTTTCTTATTTCTAATTTAATTTTAAGAATTTCTAATTTTTTAGTCTTTTGCAATAGCCATTTCAATATTTTTGCTTGAATACATATATATATATATATTATCATTTTTAAAAAAAAAATCTCACTTATTTATTTATATTCTTTGAATTATTATTTTTAAGAATTATCTTTTTTTTTAAAAAGACATAAGCAAATTAGAAGTTGTAGATTATCAACTTTTAAATTAATATTATTTTAAAATTATTTTGATTTTTAAGTCTTTTTTTCTACTTATCTTAAATGATATTAGATATATTATTTTCTATTATGTTATCATTGCAGAGCTTATTGAAATAAATAGTGCAATGGCACAAATGCAAGAACAAATAAGAAAATTAATGCTTGTAATGCATCAATTCAATTTACTACCATAAAAAATGATAAGATTGGTAAGAAGTGAAGATATAGAAATAATTGGAGTTGCTTCAATATATACATCAAATCATATTACTTCTTTTGTGATAAAATATCATTCAAGTATTAAATAATAAAGAATTGCCTTATTTAAGAAGTTTAATGATACAAGATCAAAGTTTCATAGATTCATCAATCAAATATAATTGATGATTGAACTTCAAACTCAATGCTATCCAACTCTAGGATCACAAGTCAAGATTATTAGAACACTACTTTCAAATTTTGTTTTATCATAGTTTCCACCTTTTTTTTAATGACAAAAATTAATATTTAATGATTTAGAGACTTTTTTAATAGAATTTTAATCTATGTAAAAAAAATAATGAAATTTATATTACAACCAATAAGATTTATATTTTGTAATATAATAATTGATCAATAATGTTGTATACTTCATAATTTCAACAATCTGCAAGTGATATCAAATAAGATGATGTTACACTTATTAGCTAATTTTTCTACGGATTACAATATGAGGTAAAAGAATTGATGTTAAAATTATTTGATCTTTAAATAATGAGCCAAGAAATTAAGTTAATTGTGAAGTACAACAATTGGCTTTTTGAATTTTGATTAAAAAATTGCTTAAACATTTTTATAATTCAATGGAAATATTAATGTCTTTTTAACACATAAATTTAAAAACGGAAGTCATTCAAATTAATATAATATATTTTAAACCTCTTACTAAGTAAAAAAAAACTTATTGATGTCAAGAAAGATTATGCTTATATTATAGACAACTTAAGTATAATATTCAATATTTTTTAAAAAATCCATGCAACCACAAAATAAATAAAATGACTATCAAAAGAAGTATTATGTTAGAAAATAAGTTTTACCAGCTACAATAGAGGTTGTACAACTAAGATCTTGTATAACATGTAATAAAGTTCTTATTTTTTCCTCAAAACTATCTTTTTGTTTTACAATAGATTTTTATTTAGGACCTAAAAATCACAAAGCCTTTACCTTATTAGATTCAAGAGCCTTTGCATTAGCTTTTTTTTAGATGAAGAATTTGTTAAAAGATATAAAATATCTTAAATAAAAAGAATCAAAACTATACATGTAGAAGTCATAGATGGTCATCCATTTTATTTTGGAGATAGTACCTATAAAACCTTTCTTATAAAAGTAGCAAAAAATTATTATATTAGCTTAATAATATTTAATATAATTATATTTCTTTTTAATTCAATCAATTTAGGTTTATTGTGGCTAAAAAAAACATAATATTTGAGTAGATTGGATTTCATATAGTCTTAATTTTTTACAAAG